TGCCAAATTGGGCTTCCGGGACGCATGTGGACGGTCCCACTGGGGGCTTCGGTGGAACTCCCTATGGGGCCGCGAAACGCTGTACTGGGTGAGCGAAAATGCCAAATTTGGCTTCCGGGGCGCATGCGGACGGTCCCACTGGGGGCTTCGGTGGAGCTCACTAAGGGGCCACGAAACGCTGTATTGGGTGCGTAAAAATGCCACGTTGGGTTTTCGGGACGCATGCGGACGGTGGCACTGGGGCCTTCGGTGGAGCTCCCTGTGGGGCCATGAAACGCTGTAATGGGTAAGTGAAAATGCCAAATTGGGTGTTTCAGGACGCACTTGGACGGTCCCACTGGGGGCTTCGGTGGAGCTCCCTATGGGGCCACGAAGCGCTGTACTGAGTGGGGGGGACGCATGTGGACGGTGGCACTGGGGCCTTCGGTGGAGCTCCCTATGGGGCCACGAAGCGCTGTACTGAGTGGGGGGGACGCATGTGGACGGTGGCACTGGGGCCTTCGGTGGAGCTCCCTATGGGGCCACGAAGCGCTGTACTGAGTGGGGGGGACGCATGTGGACGGTGGCACTGGGGCCTTCGGTGGAGCTCCCTATGGGGCCACGAAGCGCTGTACTGAGTGGGGGGACGCATGTGGACGGTGGCACTGGGGCCTTCGGTGGAGCTCCCTATGGGGCCACGAAGCGCTGACGGTGGCGCATGTGGACGGTGGCACTGGGGCCTTCGGTGGAGCTCCCTATGGGGCCACGAAGCGCTGTACTGAGTGGGGGGGACGCATGTGGACGGTGGCACTGGGGCCTTGGGTGGAGCTCCCTATGAGGCCACGAAACGCTGTACTGAGTGGGGGGGACGCATGTGGACGGTGGCACTGGGGCCTTCGGTGGAACCCCCTATGGGGCCACGAAACGCTGTACTGAGTGGGGGGGACGCATGCGCACGGTAGGAAGGAGGGGGAGGAGTAGGAGAGGAGGAGAGGAGGAGGAACGCGGGGACCGTCTCTTCAAAACGAGGACCCAACAACACAGGTTGGTTGGGACAAATGTACGTTTATGCATTTTTTTATGCTTCGAGTCAGGATCCAGGGCGGCAACAAAACTTCCCATTACCTTGCCTCGTCCCCGCACCGACCGCCTGCCGTTCTGAACCCGCGCGTCGCTGGTCGCTCCTGGTCGCCGCCAACCCCTTCCTCTTGCCCCACTCTCCTCTGTCCCGCGCCGGCCTCGGAGGCAAGCGCAGGGGGGAGGAGGGGGTTGCAGGAGGAGGAGGAGGACATGGAGGACATGAAGGAGGTAGAGTGATGAGGAAAGGGGAGAGGGAATGAGCGGGGAGGGCAGAAGAGAGCATTCTTCTCGTCTTCTTCCGCCGCCTCGACGCATGGAAAGAAGAGCGGTCCATACCACCTGGAAAGTGGCATTGCCCTAGTCATGGTATCCACACTTGTCCTTCGCAGGCATGGCCATCACGCGAGGCGTTCGAAGAAGCAGGGCTGTTTCGAAATCCAAACTAATGCAGAAGAAACAACAACCCAAATGGAGATGCCGGGAACTACGAAAACACAGCTTTCGGAGTCGCCACGGATGTCTTGGATCAGCGCTGGAACCCACTCCCTGGCGCGCAAAGCGCGCCATGGGGCGGCGCCGAAGGCGCCGCCAGGAGGGCCCCAACGCCGATGCAATAAATCCGTGCGGAGCCACGAAAGTTTGTGGTGTTCTTCGTCGAGTCAAGACCCAGGGCTTGAGCACAAATTACGATCGCCTCCCTTTCATCGATCCAAAAAGTCCGCGCGGAACTCCAAACGTTTATGTGTGTGCCGTTATGTCTGCTTCGAAGGTCGAAATGGACGGACAAGGCGTCGTCGTCGAACGTCAGGTGGAGCGTCCTGCGTACTCGCACGCAGCGGGGTGGGTGGGTGGCGCGAGTGCCACCTCCGCCACCAGCCACCCAGGCCCCGAGAGGGCCGAAAGGAACATAACCAGAAAAGGAGAGGCCAGGCGGGACGGTGACTTTCATCATGGACGCAACGCGTGTGCAATGCAACATGCGAACTGCCAACACGCACGGCTCACCTGTGGGGCCTCTGAGTAAAATTGACTGTGGAGGTGGGGAAGCGCTTCTGCAAACCCTCCTCTCCCGCCTGTGCTAAACTGTGACTGCAACCACATTGCCAGGAACTGAACTCAGACTGATCGTCACATGTCGCCGCGCCGCTTGTTCTCGACGCGCCTAAATGGACGACGCTGACACCACGGCACGGCCACGGCAAACCCTGCGTCCCGCGGCACAGGTAGACGAAGCAAGCAGCATCGTTAATACGACCTCTATCTCCAACAGCGTGGCCTGGGACCCCCTGGCAAATTTCACCCTGGATGGGGATGCAGGCCGTCTCCGTCGGGTTTCGAAGGGTGTTATCCCCAACTGGGGTGGTGAGGTGGCGGGGGTCTTGATGGGGATGGGGACAGGGGTCGGTTAAGGAGGAGGAGGGAGGAGGAGGAGGAGGAGGAGGAGGAGGAGGAGGAGGAGGAGGATGAGGAGGAGGAGGGGGAGGGGGAGGAGGAGGAGGAGGAGGAGGAGGAGGAGGAGGAGGAGGAGGAGGAGGAGGAGGAGGAGGAGGAGGAGGAGGAGGAGCAGGAGGAGGAGGAGCAGCGCACGTCCATAGGCGAGCCCTGGATTACCGTCTGATGAGCGCCGCATGGCGGTTTGAAAGGTGCTGCGCGTAGCTGCCGAGCGGCTGCGGGGTTTCAGCAAACTCGACACGAAATGTATGTAATCGAATGCAAAAACGACTGACTGAATCACGGGCAAGGGCATCCGTGAGATCGGTGTCTTGGTATTCCTCCTCGGATCCCAGGCCAAGCCAGAGGAAAGGAGGAACGGACGGAATGTGCAGACGGGCAGCGCGATGAGATGTAGAAGGCGGGGGCAAGAGAGGTACTGGAGGAACGAGTCGGGGCAGTCGGGGCAACCAAATCAACACAGTAAAAGGGTGAGAATCTTGATTATGTGGCTGGTGATCCACCGTCTGGCCAGAGTCTGAAGATGAGACCAAGCTTTACTGGGTTGCGAACTGGCCAAAACCTGCCGAAGACGCAGCCACCTGGCTTTGATCTCGTCCTCGGGCAAGGGGTCCACATGTGGGAACCACGTGCGGAGCCTTCTGGACAGAAGCTCGTGGAAACGATTCTGATACATTCAACGAAGTACCGAATTTAGCGACGAAGGCACCCTGATGTAAATGGTTGCCCCGGCGGAGGCGGTGGCGATCGCCTCTTGAATGCGATTCGCGGGAAAAGGGAGGCCGCGGCAGCATCGGACGAACTTTTCTATAGTGCTACAAGGTTGCTGAACATTCGTCACAACAATTCGCTGAGAAGAGACCTCGTCCCACTCTCATGTGAAAGCCGTGCACGTCCGCCCCGTGCCACAACCACTCAAAATCACCCGCCCAGTTTTTCAGAGTGTGCGCTGAAGCACGCCATGCGCATCCTGACGCCCACACCTGCACGCTGGTTGGGGTAGAAGAGCGGAGCCAGCTTCTCAACCCAAAGAAATCGTGCAGAGAGAAGGAGCTGGGTGGGAGACGGAGGAGCCTGTGAAGGGCAAAATATTCCTTGCGTGCGATTGCCTGGCAAAGCGGGAAAAACTGGGCCAGATATCCTAGTACTGATAGGCACGTGCACTCATATAGGCGCATGGCCGCCTCGCTCGGGGCCCGAATCAAGGCAATTGCTCGTGTCGCGACCACCACTTTTGACCGGCCTCCTTTCACTGCTTTCGCAAATCAGCACCAGGGCCGATAAGGACCCCTAAATTCGCCGGCCCAACGGTCCAGAGGCGTGCTAAGATCTCCGGTAGCTGGTTAACAATTCTTCTAGTTCGCGCGCGCGGGGCGGCCCCTGGGGGTCCCCCGGCGAAAAGTACCCCGACCGCAGCCCGGGAAGGTCTACTCAGAGATGGTTTTGAAGGCCTTTTTTCAACACCCCTCACGAGGATTGTGGCCTCCGAGGGGGGTGCACTCGACTACCCCGCCCCAAGAGGCCCCCAAGAGCCCCCCAAGAGGCCCAAGGGGGCCCCAAGACGCCGCCAAGGAGCCCCAAGAGGCCCCCAAGAGGCCCCCAAGAGGCCCCTAGGAGGCCCCAAAGAGGCCCCCAATGAGGCTTCAAAGAGGCCCCATAGAGCGCTCGAGGGCCGGCGGAATGAGCGAAGCGATTAAATAATTGGCCCAGCTCGCAACTGGAAGTCCGCCCAAGGTGGCACCAGTTGAGCTATCTGGCTGGCGATGCGAGCGCAGTCAACCACAGTGCATGCGACGGCAAGCGGCACGGCAACGCACTTCGCAGGCTGAAGGGCTAGCCCGGCGAGACATTGAGCGAAAGGAAAGGTCGCATGCAACATTGGCAGCATCGATATCTGATTGAGCGCAACTCCTACATCGTCGGCGCATGCCCCCAGGGTGGCCTGCTCTCTGGAGGGGAAAGGGAGGACAAGGTGACGGAGGAAGGGGTCAAACCCGAAGGCCGAGAGAGAGCCTGAGCGGGGGCATCCCTGGGGAAGGCCTGCAGTGATCAAAAACATGGGCACGACCGCAGACCCGACCAGCATATGCGCCAGCGAGTCGGCTGCCAGAGCCGCAATCGCCCACAAAAAGCGCTGGGGCAAGCGGCACCTTGCCAGCACGAGACGAAGCCAGGTCTGGCTCATGCTGGGAGAGGCCGCCTTGATATTGAAGCTTAGAAGAGCGGATCGGTACCTGCGTTGACTACGCCAGCACGGCGAGCAGCCGTGTCCATGCGAACCACATTATAGGGAGGAGGAGGAGGAGGAGGAGGAGGAGGAGGAGGAGGAGGAGGAGGAGGAGGAGGAGGAGGAGGAGGAGGAGGAGAAGGGGGAAGAGGAGGACGAGGAGGAGGAGGAGGAGGAGAAGGAGGAGGAGGTGGGGGTCTTGATGGGGGTGGGGACAGGGGTCGATTAAGCGATGCTGGTTAGGGGCGCGGGGGCCGCGGGCCTGGTCCTCCAGGGCCAAGCTGGTCGAGCGCTCCCCCTCCAGCAGCTCCAGGAGCCGGGCGATGGCGCCCTGGGTGCCGCCGCCGCGTCGGCCACGATCGATCACGACCACGACGGCAACGATTGGTCACCCTAGGCCTCCCACAGGGGGGTGCGAGTATGGATGGGGTCGGGGGATCACACCGTGCCGCCGATGCACCGCCGATGCGTCGGCGATGCGTCAGCGTTGCATCCAAAGTCGTCGGCGTAGAGAAACTTGGGCTCCAGATCGAGCCGCATCGACGATGCTTCGCCGACGCGGCGCGATCCTCCAGTCCCATCAAATTCGACTCCATTTAGGCGGCCCAGGGTCACCAAATCCCCCTCGCGTCGTGACTAGGTCACGACGGACATTTCTGGCAAATCCCGGCCTTCCAACATCTATTTCCCAACCATCCTGTGGTGTTGGGTCCTCGTTTTGAAGAGACAGTCCCCGCGTTCCTCCTTCTTTCCCTCCCTCCCCCTCCTTGGGGTGTCCGCATGCGGTTCCCCCACCCAGGGCAGCGCTTCGTGGCCCCATAGGGAGCTCCACCGAAGGCCCCAGTGGGGGTGCCCGCATGCGGTTCCCCCACCCAGGGCAGCGTTTCGTGGCCCCAGAGGGAGCTCCACCGAAGGCCCCAGTGGGGGTGCCCGCATGCGGGTCCCCCACCCAGGGCAGTGTTTCGTGGCCCCATAGGGAGCTCCACCGTAGGCCCCAGTGGGGGTGTCCGCATGCGGTTCCCCCACCCAGGGTAGCGTTTCGTGGCCCCATAGGGAGCTCCACCGTAGGCTCCAGTGGGGGTGTCCGCATGCGGTTCCCCCACCCAGGGCAGTGTTTCGTGGCCCCATAGGGAGCTCCACCGTAGGCCCCAGTGGGGGTGTTCGCACGCGGTTCCCCCACCCAGGGCAGCGTTTCGTGGCCCTATAGGGAGCTCCACCGTAGGCCCCAGTGGGGGTGTCCGCATGCGGCTCCCCCACCCAGGGCAGCGCTTCGTGGCCCCATAGGGAGCTCCACCGAAGGCCCCAGTGGGGGTGCCCGCATGCGGTTCCCTCACCCAGGGCAGCGCTTCGTGGCCCCATAAGGAGCTCCACCGAAGGCCCCAGTGGGGGTGTTCGCATGCGTCTCCCCCACCCAGAGGTAGCGCCACCAAAAACGATATTCATATTTGCGGTATTCACAACTGCATATGGTTGGGTCCTTCGCCAGGTTAATTTTCTGATTCCTGGTAACGGTCGTTACTCGAGGGGTGAGGTTCGGCCCCCGGCCAACGGTAATGCTTGGGCGAGGTGAGCCGCAACATACGTGTGATAAACACAGCATGCCGTTGTACACCAGGATTTGGGGGGGTCCAAGCCCCCCCCCCGTACGATCGTCACCATTACCCGAAGGGAGGAGGGTTGGCCCAGGTGACGACCGTCACGCGCCAGAGGGTAAAAATATCAACGTTCGAAGTTCCACGCAGATCTCTTGAGTCGGCGCTGGATCCCCCTCACTGGCGCGCGCAGCGCGACAGGAGCGGCGCCAGAGGCGCCGCCAGGGGGCTCCAGCGCCGATCCAGGAAGTCCTCGCAGAACTTCGAAATTGTGTGTTTATGTGTTTGCTTGACTCCTCGAGTCAAGTAACGAATGAAGCCGAGAAGCGGGCCCCAGGGGAAGCGGTCAGGATCTCCGGGGGCCCACAGTGCAGAAAGACCACAACGTCGGTCGTCTGGGCACGACGACGGCCATCCGCCGCGGGGTGGCGCCAGGCTGATATTTCCTTTTTTGGAATCCAAAACTCAAACGCGGATGTCTTCCCAGAGTCCTGCCAGGAGCACGGCCGAATAATACATCGATATGAATGATCTGACTCATGACCTGTCCACGTAGGGCCACGCGCCAGTTCACAACGATGGCAAGTGCCGGAACAAAAACACGTGGGGGAGAAGTGTCAAAAATGTCGAAGAATCGCCGCCGCGCTAACCGCTTGCGAGGGTCTACGGAGCTGTCCAATGGAAGCGTCAGCTCCTGGACGGTTGCGCATCAGTCATGCCCGAACGCGCCGCGACTGCCGTCTCCATCACCCCACCACGGGCAAGTGAACCACCGCCACTTGCCGACGCTGCCAGTGGCACGCTTCCTGTTCACTCACCAGTCGAAGCTGCTCGCGTGCAGCCACTCGTGGACCTCGTCATCGCACTTCTCCAGGAAGACTGCAGGATCGCGCGCCAAGACAAAGAGTTGGCCTGCGTCGAGCAGCCAACTCAACGTCGCTGGACTTCCAACGACCGCCCGTCGCGGCCTTGCGGAGCTCCGTCGACTCGACAACCGCAAGCAAGGGGTGCCTCGTCGAGCTTCGTCACGGCCCGACTAGCCATGCGAGTCCTTCGACTCCCATGATCTTGGTGGGCCATGGGTGAACTAATAGGACGGATCAGCGCAGCTTTGGAGGTCACAATCGCCAACCGACCTCGGTGGCGGCTGCCAACCCAATCTGGCCTTAATATTACGCAGCAAAGTGTTGACTTCCCTCCAGAAATTTACGCAATCCCCCCTCCAGGGAGCCACGTCGTAGAGGTCACGTCAGGCCAAAATGCCAGGCGGCATCCTCGAGGGCGCCGAAGGGCAACCATTTATCTAAATTATCCGGTTGGCCCCGCTGGCAGTATTCTCGAGACCACGTCAAGCCACGGCCCCCAGCTGCGTTTCCGAGGCCGCGTGAGGCCGAGATCCCCGGCTGCCAAACCAGGCCGCCAAAGCAGCACAACCTATCTCAGGGGGGCGCCAGCCTTGAGAGTGACTGGGGATACCTGCCAACCTTAGGGGTTACAAGGGGGACCGACATTTGCCGCAATCCCTCCGTGCTCGAACTTGCCACAATCCCACGGGGGGGATCAAATACGGCCACGAGGAGCCGCAGTTTGCAGGTCAGGGGTGGTGCTGTATCCATGCCCTCCTCGGCCAAGGATCTGAGAGCAATACCGTTGCGTTCTTCACCTTCCTCACATTCCCAGGCCGTCCATAAGACGGATCTCCTCACCTACAGGCTACCCGGATTCTCACGACTGCGCAGGGGGGTGATCTCGTCAACTCGACACCCGCAAACGGCAGGTGTCCTGCTGATCCTCGTCTCGGCTCTGCGGGGCCCCATCGACTCGACAAACGCAACCAGGGGGTGTCTTGTCGAGCCTGGCCCTGCAGTGCTACGTCGGCTCGGCACCCGCAAGCGGGGGATTGTCTCGTCCAGCCTCGTCGCAGCACTGCGGCGCCCAATCGACTCGGAGGAGGGCGGAGGGAGGAGGGAGGACTCGTCGCGGCCCTGCGGGGCCACATCGACGCGACGCCCGCAGGCAGGGGGGGGGGCCTTGCCGATCCTCATCGCGGCCCTGCGCGTCGACTAGACATCCGCAAGCGGAGGGTGTCTTCTAGAGGCTCGTTCGCCCCTGAGTGGCCTCTTCTTTCTCCCCTCCCCGCCGCCGCCCGTCTCCCCTTTTGCCTCTCTTGCACGCTGGCCACTTCGCTTTTCGGTGCCCCCGTCTAGCTTCTTCGCTGGTGCAGCCACCAACTCTGCCTCGAGGCCGACGAAAAAAGTGTTGGTCGAGCCTCGTCGCGGTCCTGCGGAGCCCCATCAACTCGATGCGCGCAAGCGGGGGGCGTCTTGTCGACCCCCGTCGCGGCCTTGCAAAGCCCCGCTGGCTCGACACCCGTTAGCGGAAGCGCCTCGTCGATCCGCGTCGCGGCATTGCGGGGCCCTGTCACCTCGACGCGCGCAAGCTGGGAGCTGCCAACTACGACCCTGCCGCTACTTTAGCGAGCATCGGGGAGGTCTGGCTGATACCACTCCTACGCAGTCCTGCGGGTGCTGTCAACTGTGCAACATGTTTCACGTTCGTGGGCCCCTGGAAGGTCCAGCGGCCTACGCAAGTCCAAATGAGATGTCGCCCCCCTTTCTCGTGTGCTGCCAACTGGGCGATCTTCGCCACGTTCGTGGTCCCTGGGAAGTCCAGCGGAAATGTCTCTCGCCGATTCAAGTGCAACCTCGTTCTCTCCCTCTCTTTCTCGTGTTAGCTATTTATATATCAATGTATGCATCTAGATACATGGATTCCTCTTGTTTGGTCTTGCTTCTATAGCTCTCTTTCTCTGTCTCTCTTTTCTCTCTCAGTCTCTCTCCATGTGCTGCCAACTGCACAGCGGTCGCCACTTGCGTAAGCATTGCGCACGCTATATGCCCTCCCTGTGTTCACACCCTATGTGCTTCTCCGATTCGTCGTCGGCCTTCTGTCGTCCCCCGTTCAGTTCCTCTACTTCGGTGACGCCTCGTGCAAGTTCCATTCGGTCAGCCACGAATGGATTATCATGCAGCCTCCCCGAACGAATGCGTGGCCTGCCCCATGTTCGCTCGTCTTGGATGGGCCAGTTGATGTCGCCCCTTGTTGCAGATGGGGTGGGCACGTTCCTTCGATATTGTTACACGCCTCCCCCCCAGGGAACTCGATTCCTTCCCCACGGCTGGCTGCTCATCTTGAGTGGTTGCTTGACGGTCCACAAACAATCTCCAGGGGGCAAGGGCGACGAACCGTCGCGTGTTGGGGGAGGAGGAGAACCGATCAAGATGAAAGAGCGCGCCGAGTTTGGTGTCAGGGCGAATGTATACGGCAGGACAAGCTGAGAAACACAGCCCCAGGTCACGACAGAGACCGAGAGCCAAGAGAGCTTACGACCCAGAGCAGCTCACGAGAGGGAGCTCACCACGGCCAGCACCATGACTGGGGTCTGAAGCGAAGCGCTCGGAAGGCAAGTAAAGAGGAAAATACTTACACAAGTCCCAGCGCAATTGCAACAGCTTCAGAGTACCGAGTGACAGATGGGGCACTCATGCCCAAGCGCGGCACCTTCGAGTGCAGAAACTTGTCGAACACACGGTCCCACTTACACCGCCGAAGCGGAACTTTCTGCAACAGCTCTGGTCGGCAGGAACAGCTGAGAAATCGATCCCCCCTGTCACAGCACGACCTGCGGCGATACCACCATCAGCCGACCCGAGACGAACCGCTCGCGCCCTCGCGCACGCGCAGAAGGCGGGAGGAGGGAAGGACAAGCTCGCGCTATGGTAAGCTACGCTTGAGAAGGCCATCCCCGAGGGACCCCTTCGGCGACGACGAGGACGACGACACTGTCGGAGTCACATAGACGAGGACTTCGATCAACCACGACAGTGGCGAGCCCGAGAAAATTGCAGCCGTGGGCTGCAACATGATCCATTATTCGCCGATGCAGCTGAATACGGCAAAGGCCTGGTTCGCGAAGTCCTGCTCCCGACCATGCGTTTGCCGCTCAGCGCGCAGCCCCGAGGAATTCCTGAACCCCATCCATGGGAGCAGCTTTCCGTCCCAGATCCTTTTCTGGTCCTGGGGACCGACAACGGGCCCTGGAGGCCGAAATCGAGGAACAACAACGGGACTGCAACAAAACACATGTCGTCGGTCTGGCGGGGCACTGACGACGACGGCGTGCTCCAGCCTCATTTCGGAAGCCAGGAGCATCACCCCCTAAATCTCCACCCCTCCTAACGTTGCCCCATGGTTTAGGGCAACAGTGGGCCCAAACTCGGCTCTCCAGCGGCCGCTCGAGACGATCTGGGTATCCCCCGAATGCTGTCGGCGAGGCGCAGCCGCTGGAAGGCATCCCGAGGCCGGAGAACCGCCGAACACCGATGAAACGCCCGAAAACCTCAACCCTCGAACCCCCCCTTGAGCCTATCCCCTCAGAGCGACGACGACGACCGCGTGCTATGGGCGCCTGGAGCAGTTTTTCGCCTGGATTCATTCCCAGTGGCCCTGGGGCCCGACAACGGGCCCCCGAGACCGAAATCGCAGAAAAGGCGTTGGAATCGTGGGGGAACCCACGGAGTACCTAATTATGCCGCTACTCCCCAGATTTCTCCCAGGGTGCGTCCTGGTAAACATTTCGAAGCGAAGCCAGCCGTGGCGTCGAGGGCCTCCCAGGAGGACTAAAAGGGCGGAAATGAGTCGAGGGTAGCTGGCGGGGCCACGACGACGACGACCATGACGACGACGACGACGACGACGACGACGACGACGACGACGACGACGACGACGACGACGACAGTGACGACGACAGTGACGACGACAGTGACGACGTCAGTGACAACAGTGACGACGGCGGCGGCGGCGGCGGCGGCGGCGGTGGCGACGGCAACGGCGGCGACGACGACGACGACGACGACAGCGATGACGACCACTGCGTGCTTCAGACGTGCGGGCGGATGGGGGCGGGGCGCGCCTTGGCCTCGCGGGCCTTCGAGGCCAGCTCTGCGGCCTCGGCGGCTTTGTGCTCCACCTGAACGGCCGCGGGCCCCGCCCACCCCCACTGGGGGAGGGGGGCCCCACGTCAGGGAGACCGATCCCCCGGGTCATACCTTTGGAAAGTCCAAGGTTCGCTGGGTTGGGGCCGCGGATTGAGAAAAACACATCGGATGATGTCAGGGCGTATGGCGGGTTCGGGAGACCCAGAACCCGCAAAGGCCTGCCATCTCCTGGGGGGCAACATCTGCTTCCGTCAACCACCGCTGGCCTCCACCGGCGGAGCCGCCTTCGTTTCACTTCCGCCTGCTTCCGCCCGCAGCCTTCCACCGAGGGAAAGGTACCAACTTCTAGATTCAACGAAGACGAGACCTTCCCAATGGCCACCCCAATCCCTGACTTACCCAACACCCTGGCGAAAAACATGACGAGCGGCTTTTGGCCGTCTTCGGCCTCCTGTGGCCCTCGCCAGATGCTGGGACCGAAGAAGCCCAAGGTCACGACATGGAAATATCATGACGGACCTCTGGCATCGCAATGCGGCTGATGTCGACTGTGTTCCCCCTTCTTGTGAGGGGGAGAGGGAGAAGGAAGAGGGAGAACGAGGTGTGTCTGTTTACTTACCCTGCTCCGAAGAGCTCGATCCATGGGCCAGCGCCGCGAGAAAGACAATGGCATGGGATGCCTGGGGATGGAACGGGGCCCTGAGCACCACTGGAGGCCTCCCAAATGGGGTCCGAGTAGTGGGGCTGAAGGATCGCGCAGCATCGCCAGTGCATCGCCAGGCACCGACGACATCGACGACGCATCGGTGCCGTCGGCATGGAGAGGTCCACATCGAGCCGCATCGCCGATGCTTCGGCGATGCAGCGGCGATGCAGCGCGATCTTCTGACCCCATCCACTCCAGTCCCATTTGGGATGTCTGGAGCGTCCGCGCTGAGCCTATCCCCCCTAACGTTGCCCCCTGGCTTTCGGCTCATAATTCGGCTCTCTGGCGGCCATTCGGGACAATCGAGGCACCCCCAAAAACGCCATCCGTGAGGCGCAGCAGGAGACGATCCTGGGAGCCTTTCGTTGTTACTTAATATGGCTTCCCTGCGCCGTCAATGGTCCGCAGTGCTTTGCTGGCGCCACTGGAGGCAATAGAAGAGCCACTGGAGGCCGCTAGAGGCTCGT